TGGCTCTGTTGGCGCCCCCCGCCAACGCGGGTTTTTCTTCCGCGGGCGCGCCGTTGCTGCTTGCGTCTATCGGATCGTACCCATCCTTCAGGATGTCACATATAATCTGCTGCGTACGCAACGATTTTACTGGATCGCCGCCGCGGTTTTGAAGGCGAGGCACTATCCGAAACGGCGCCGCGACCTTCTTCGACTCAACCCTGAATCGAGCTCGGAATGCGATGCTTTTTTGATGAGTTGCTTGCTTGTCTCCTCTGCCACGGCAGCTGGCCAAGGCGACCCCCGTTGCCGCGCCCCCCCCCCCAACCCGCGCCCAAATCAGCGGACGCCGTTGCCGCGGAGATGCGATCCCCGATCCTGCTATTGAGAGAATAAAAACAGCAATGATGTAATTGGGGTGACGATTGCGTCGACGGCAATGAACCCGATCAGAATTCGGATACTTCTTTCCCACCCCCTGACAATGGTTTCGCAAGGTCTTTGCGATCTCTGAAGAAGAGCGATGACATGGGGGAGTCCGCAATGACACGAGAGGGGGGGGGGGGGGGGCAGGCAAGACGTCGGGGGGGAAGGACATGGGGCGAGAGGAGAAGACTGAGCAGCGAAGGAGTGGAGGAAGAGGATATGAGGAGGACGAGGGATGGACGACGAGGACAAGAGGACGAGAGGAAGAGCGAAGGACGAGGATGGACGAAGAGGAAAAAGAGGAGGACTAGGAGAAGAGGGGGGAAGAGGAGGACGACGAGAGGAGGACGGGGGGGCGAGGACTGGAGGGCGAAGAAGAGGAAAGCAGGAGCACAAGGTGGTCGAGGTCCCACACGCCTCAGAACGATAACCATGGGCAGGGCATGCGATGTCAGACAGGGCCTGGGTGGTAACGTCGGCGCGCGCCGCGCTGCGTCTATTCGCACTTTCAGATTAGGCAAGACTCGACTGTGACTGCCCGTGGGCGGCCGCCTCGCTGCGGCAGCGAGCTCGCTGCTGAGCTCTGGTGGTCGTCGTCTCCGCAGCTAGCCCGCCCTCGCGGTCCCGTTCCAGGCTCCTCGAGGCCGCCGAGTCGAGCCTCGCCAGTAGCCCGCGCGCCACCCCGCGGCGCGGCACCTCGGGCTGAAGCCGCAATCTGCCCCAGGAGGGGGCGAGCGCGAGAGAGGCCCCACGACCGCCCCGAAGGCCCTCTCGAGAGTGCGCGGCGGCAGAGCAAACCTCCTAGATGGCCTATCGGCTGGATCCGACTCGCCGCAGAGCCATCGAACGCGCGGCGATGCCCCGAACATGGACATCAAGCCCTCCATCGACGACATATACGATTCATCGCAGGAGCTGAAGCCGCCGCCGGGCTCTGCGTTTTCCATGGCGCCCCCGCCCCGGCGGGCCCCGGCGCCCCGCTCGATGCCAGCGGGTCGAGGCAGGGAGGGAAGCATGATAGGGGGGGCGGAGGAGGAGGAGGAGGAGGAGGAGGAGGAAGGATAGGAGGAGGAGGAGGAGGAGGAGGAGGGGGCGGACGTCGCGTCAGCGAGGGGCAGCAGCTTCTCCGGGCGTTTTCTCTTGAATCGCGCAGCTGGTGCTTGAGGCTCCACAACAGAGCCCGCGCCTCCAGCAAGGGCGCGCGCCCTGCCCGCGCCCGCCGGTCGGCGTGGAGACAGTGGCCCAGCGGCGGTTGAGCACCTCGACGGGCACTTCGGGCATGTCAGCAAGGCACCAGAAGTCAGGTGGCCGATGAGGCTCTCCAGTTGCCTGCCCGAGCAACGCCCGCGACGAGGCAGCTCATTGATCCCGAGACGCATCCTCCAGAGCCGCCTGGGGTTGACAGCCGCCTCCGCCAAGGTCGACTCGGGCCACCAACCGGGGGAGTCGCCGCCCGCTTGGCAGGAGGCATCGTGGGTGGGTAGCCCCACTTGCTTGAAGACCTGGGCAATCTCCTCAGCGGCCTTCGCCCACGCCGCCTCGTCCTGGGGGTAGCTCGCGAAGTTGTCCGAGTGCTCTGCGTGCGCCGATGGATCCAACCGACGGGCAGGTTGCCCAACCTTGATGCGATTACTGTCGTCCAGGCCGGGGCGCGTCGCCACCAAGTACACGTGGGTGTCCTGGCGAAGCTCCACCGCGCGGGGCCGGCCCACGGGGGCATCGCGAAGGCAAGGCGCAGCCAGGTCATGAGGCTGGACCGCCCCCTCAGCCGTCACAGTCGGTCCCAGATCGCCAGATCGCATCGAATTCAAAAAGTGGGACGCGCGTAATTCTTCTGAAAGTTCCAAAACGTAGAATGCATCAGCGATGTCCACCTCCTCTCCAAGAAATGCGGGGCCACCCGGGTCCACCACGACTGCGGGGAAAAGACGGAACGGTAGCAAGACTGAAATCAGCACCATCGGCAAGAGGGCAGTTCGACCAACGGGCATCCACTATCGAACGCCGTCTCCCATCCTTCCTGAACGCCGGGAAAAACCCAGCCCTTTCACGACGCGAGCGCCTGAACTCGAGCAAACCAGAGTCATGCAGCTTCTGCATCAAGTCGCGATGCACTCGCCGACTTCGAAGCCGAGGGTCATTGAGTGGCTTCTTCGCTCCCGTCGCAAACTCTCGACGCTCAGCCTCCCCATTTGGCGGGGCACTTGTGGCGAACCCCTCCCGCAAGCTCAGCGCCGGCAGCCCCGCGCAGAGAGGATAAAGACGCTCGTTGGTGTCCTTTCTCCGGCACGGCGAGCTGGCCAACGTCAAAGGGGGCCGCGGCGCTGGACTCACCGTCGTAGCCGCGGCGGGCCCAAGAGCTCCCGAAGGGCCCCCAGGCCGTCCAAGTCAGCAGGTGGATCACCGACCGCCTTGGCGCACTGCAACATATAGTTCAGACGCTGGTGCTGACCCTGCGTGGGAGATGGCGCAGACGGAAGATCCTGACAGCTCATCTCACCGTTGATCTCCGCCACGGTAGGCAGCGGCAACAAGTCCCGCTGACGTCCACCGCGAGGTCTGAATTCGGGCATGCTGGGGGGCCTGGAGACCCCCCAAGGTGGCCCCTCCTCCTGACGAGGACGAGGGGCCAGCGCACTCGTAGGGCGAATTGGAGGCCGCGGCCCGCTCCTCGCGGGCCTTGCGGATCTACTCGAGGACGGACGCGTCACGCCGCACCTCCTTCGCAATGTGATTCAGGAGGTCGGGCGCCGCCATGACCGACCCGGATTCCTTGTGGGCGCCCAGGAATATAGCGCCCTCGTCGTACATCTTTGCGCGCGAGAGCGCGGGGGTGGAGTGGCCTTTGCCTCGGCCACCGCCCTTCTCGTTCTCGTCTTTGTCTCCACCACCCTCGCCATCGGTCATGGCGGCCAATGAACTGACCGACCCGCCAGGGCCGATCTTAGAGTAGCAGTGCTCGATGAGCTGCGCACGGCGCATCAGCAGCTCCACGATGCCGAGGTTGAGCACGTCGAGGCTGTCGCAGCATAGACCGATCTCGAGAGTCTGGGGGATCAGCCCGTGCTCCGCCACACCACTTGTGGTGGTCCACCGACTTGTAGCCGATACGCGGACATCCACCACTTGTGGTGGTCCACTGCGCCTCCGCCGCGCCCGTTGAGGAAACCCACGCACCAGGAAACCGTCCTCGGCCCAGGGACTTGGAAGTCCCCGAGCGTGATCTCCTTCGCGTTCTCCACGGCCTCCTTGGAGAGCCACCTGGCGCGGCTCATCGCGGACCCTCGCAAAGGCAGAAGGCGGGCATCCGTCGCTGCCTCTGCGCCAGCAAACTCCACCTCCGATTGGCTCTCCAGCGTGCTCCTGCAGCGCCGTGTCCTTCACCACGTGGGCCCCGGGAGCGATAGTCACGATCGACCCGCGAAGCACCACGTGGCGACACTCCACGGCAACCCACGCCATGCCAGCCATGTCGACAAGGGGCGCCGCGACAACAGGCGGGCCAGGAGGTGCCCGCGCGCAAGCAGCTCCTTCCTCCGTCGGCACGTCACTGGCCGTGGCCCCTAGCGCGCGAGCCCCAGCATCGGCAGCCATTCCCCAAGCCGTGAGCTGTGTGGCGGTCGGGTCGTCCCTGAAGCGGTAAACCATATATCGCGACACGCCTGGCGGCGGTGGCCACCGCGATGAGCACCATCTAACCCCGATCATGTCAGAATTCGCCAAAGCATACGATTCCTCGTACGTGCCCTCGTCGGGCGAATTGATGAAGTAGTCAGTCTCCGACGACCCCACCGCTCCCACGACGTACCTTTGGTGCCACAAGGCCTCCGCCGTCGCGAACCACACGAACGCCCACCTCATCTCCGGCCTGGCAACGAGAAGCGGCATCGCGAGTGAGGCTGCTCACCCAGCAGCTGACGACGAGCGTGATGAGGGAACTGGCGACCGCCACGGCGTACAGCTGCGGCCACGGAATAACCGTCACCTCCGCCACGTCCGTGCCTCGCTCTGGTAGCAGAGGTGCTCCTGGGCAGGGGAGGATCAGTGGAAACTGCGGGCGCTCTGGACAATGAGGGCACGCCGGCACCTCGGGGCACCGCGAGCTGTAAAGAAGCAGGACAGGTCCCACCAGCAACCGCTCCGCCGCTCGGAGACCCACAGCCACGAGGGCGTCGACCATCCAACACCCGCGTGGCAAACTAGAAACCGAGCTAGCTCGAACCCAGCGGTTGGTAATTATGAGCAGCTGTTGAAAGGCAGAACGTGGCATACAACATATGAGCGGCCTCGCTCCCAGCCGTCGAGCATTTAGACTCATGCGCAAGAGCGTCCATAAAAAAATGTTGAGAAAAAAGGGGGCCCGTGGGGGTCCAGGCGTTCTCCTCGTCCTCCTACCCCTTTTCTTCGTCGTCGCCGTCGTCGTCGTCCTCCTGATCCTCCCCCTCTCCGCCCTTTTTTTCCTTCTTGTGTTTCTCGTCCTCCTCCTCGTCCTCCTCGTCTTCCTTCTCCGCCACTGGTGCTCCAGCAGGGAGCAGCGAGCACAAGATAATGATGAGGCCAGGACGGTGGCTTCCGCTGCCCCGATGCCCTGAGGCCTACTGGCTTCCCCGCGTCCCTCCAGTGAAAGAGCTGCATGTAGGCGAACCGAAAGTAATACTTCAGCACGTCGCCTGTGTGGGGCCCATGCGAAGAAGAAGGATACACTGCATCAATAACACCCTTGCGGCAGATAGGCCGAATCAGCTTCCCACATGGGCCTGGACGTCCACCTCCTAACCCATACGCCGACAACTCACTTCTGAAGAAAAAAGCACGACATGATAACGCGAATGCCAACACATGTGCCACAACGATCCATCTAGACAATTTTAACTCGTAGGCGGTCTACCAATACGACTAACTCAAATACCGGCACACATGAAACAGTTGCCAGGCTAATTTATATAGGCTCAACACTATGGACGTTCGAACGACTAGTATTACGAATGCGACCACGATTGCTCGTTTTTTTGGTGAATTCTGCGATGTGCTGCTCGTGCGGCGACGGCTGATACTACGTACCACTACTGCTCCGACTGAAACCACGATAGCGCTTACGACTACGACTACTGCTTCAACTACGAGTACTGATAAGAAATAACGTTACCCGTGCAACACGTACGACATATCTCTACGACTGGCCTTCAGACTGGATAGAATGAGGGGGCCAGACGGTCATTCACTGTCCCTGGGAGCGTGGTTGAAGTCGGATTCCGTGATGCGGATTATTACTGTTGTTGTTGTTGTGGTTAGTGTTGTTATTGTTGTGGCTGTTGTTGTTTGTTGTTGATGTTGATGATGCTGTTGCTGGTGTTGTTGTAATACTAAGTGTTGTTGTTGTTTGGGGTATTGTTGGTGTTGTTGTTGTTGTTGTTGTTGTTGTTGTTAGTGTTGGTGTTGGTGGTGTTGTTGTTGGTGTTGGTGTTGTTGCCCACCCCCGACCCACCTGCGACCCACCCGCGACCCACCGTCGACCCACCCCGCGATCCACCCACATTGCTTCAGCGAAAAATCGACGCCTGCGGCGGGCCCGTGGCACAATTTCTGAAAATTGGACGCCTGCGGCGGGCTTCTTCGGAGCCTCGCAGACTGCAAACGTCCCCGCCGCCCCCTCACTCTTATCCGCAACTTGGAGGCTTGGACATTGGCACCAACACCAACACGGGGGGTTGCCTCCGCAGGGGGAAGATGATCCTCGATGTCGGTGTTGGTGGTGATGTTTCGGTCGCCTTGGAAGCCAACATATTACTACCATCGCCGAGACGGGATCTTCTTCCCTCGATGGAGGCACACCGCCGATATTGGTGTTGGTGTCAACCTCTAGGCCTGCGAGTAACTGCGGGGTGCTTTGTACTGATACGAATGCAGCGGGAGGCGGGAGGCCAAGATCAGTCACGACGACCGACAGACCGTGGGGACCCAGCGACGCACGCGTGCGACAACCGGAGGCCACGCCGCCCGACCAATCCACGATCCAGCCACGCACCTACGATGTGTACATGATTCGGCCTGACCTGAGGAACGATAAATAAGAAACGCGGCCCCTTTGTTCCAAGGATCGCAAGGGAAGCTTGCCACCAAACTAGTAGCGGAACGCATGCAAACCAGAGGAATGACCGAACCCCTTGTGAAAAGTGAGTGTTCCTTAGTCAAGCCGGACCCTGTACGAAAAGACATTCAACCAGTATAGTAATGATGCGGGATAAGGATGCAAGGGCCTTGGACGCCCATTTCGAAGCTTCTCGAGCGGGGCGCGGCCAGCGAAAGCGGCGAAGGATGGGCCGAGGAGGCAAGGATACGGGGGTACCCTTGGGAAGGCTGTTCATCCTTAATATGCGGGTTCGCTGTAGTGCACGAAAAGACGTATAGCCATTCACTTTCAACGGTCCGCGCGGAGTTCTTGGACCGCCGCTGGGCCCCACTGGCGGCGCCTCCAGAACCGCCCACGGCGCCCTCCACGCGACAGGGAGGTGTCCACCGCCGATCCATGGGATCCGCGCGGACCTCTGAGACCCTATGGTTATGCAATTGTTTCTTGTTTCCGCTCATGGCAACATCTCGGAGGGGTGATAATTCAGATTGTCGCGAAAGCTGTGTGACGACTCCTCCTTTCGTCCCTCTCCCCAGGCGGGTGGTAATCGGGGGTGGCCTCAATGGGGGGTGAAGAAAAATTGCTCCAAAGGGCCCATTAGGGGCCCTTTTCCCCCCCCCCCCATCCAAGTCCCACGCCTCATTACCACCCGCCCGACTCTCCCCTTCCTCCTCCCCTCCCCTCTGGGTCCTTACCGTCGTCGTGGCCCTTCCCTATTCTGCTGCTGCTAACGGGTGGGAGGGGGGGCGAATCAGGGAAAAGGTGAGAAAAAAGGTGAGGCAAGACAAAACTGTGGGGCTCGACCCCAGATGTAGAGGAAGAGAGAGAAGGGAGATAAGGAGAGGCCCCCTTCTCCTCGCCCTCCCCTTCCATCTCCGCCTCCCCGTCCCCTCTCGTGCTGATGTTGTGCATCCTTCCCCTCCTGCGCCGTCCTGCCTTCGCCTTCTCGTCCCCTTCCTCCTGCCGCAGCCTAGGCGCGCCCCTGCCTTGCAGCAGGTCTACCCCATCGTGCGGGCACGAGGCGACACGCGTGACAGCCAACTGTGTACCCCTCGAACATTGACAACCCATACTGCTGAGTTGGAGCGTTGGCGGGACTTGCCGCAGGCATCTGGATGTAGCCAGGAGCGGTGGGCTTCTTTGAATCTTCTGCCAGTGGTGACCTAATCGACGCGAGCTACTCCTGCCAGTGACTCGTGCACTTCAGCGAGCTAGATTGCTTCCCGCCCCCCACGCATAACACCTGGCTACATCTGCGGTGACAGTACAGCGCAGTGCAGCAACGCGGGGGGACGAGAAGAGGGAGAAAGAAGATCGGGAGGAACCGAAACAGGGTGAGGCAGAGGCCGGAGTAGCGCACGCTGCGTGCTCCAAGGATGAGGAGCGGAGGGGAGGCGAGACCAAGCGGAGGAAAATTGAGTATTTAGGATCATCGGGTCCACGGGCGAACGGGCGGGCGGGCGGGCCCTGTGGCGAGCGGGCAAGAAGCCCAGGCAGCAGCAGCAGGCAGCAGCATTCGGCATCAGAGCGCAGCAGGAGGCAGCAACACCGGTGGTCCCCCCAGCCCTCTGGGCGGAAGTGGCGCTGGGCGCCAACTTGCTCTGTTGGATCGGCGAGGCTGCCTCGGCATGATCGCCGCAGATTTGCATTGTCGGGCCTGGGTGGTTCAGTCTGTTCAGCCCTGCCGCCGCGGGTTTGCCTTCTTCGGCCTGGCTGGTCAGGTCTGGCTGCCGCGGGCGCGCTCAGCTCGGATCGGCCGGCATGGCCCTCGGTGCCTCGCAGCTGCTCGGCTCGGCTTGCCTGATTTGGCTCCGTTCGGCAGGCGGGCCGAGCCCGGCCCGGCGGGCTCGGCATGGTCGCCGCGAATCTGCTCGGCTCTAGCCGCGCATGCTCAATGCTCCACATCCGCGCGCTGACTCAATTTTTGTTCCACTGCCTGGGCGCACCAGGGGTCGGACCAGGCAGAGACGACCTGCCTGAGGCCCCCCCTGCTGCGTCGCGCACGACATGCCCCCCTCCCTATCCCCCCCGGTTCCCCCGCGCCCTCCGCAGATTCTAGAAGCATTGTGGTCTCCGTCCTGTCCTCCTCTCCCGCATCCTCCCTCATCCCGCCTCTCTCCTCAACCTCTCCCTCATCCTGTTCTGCCTACCTCGTCCTGCATCCTGTGCGTTCCCTCGGTGCCTGCGAACTGCGCAAACGTCGCCACTCTCGTGGGCTCCTGGGAAGCACGGGAGAGTGCAGGGCAGCGCAGATCCAGGCGAAACCGCGTGCTCCCATGGGGCGCTGCTAACTGTGCAATTGTCGCCTCTGTCTTGGGCCCTGAGGGGCACGGCGGAGGACAAGGCAGCGCGGATGAAGGTGAGACCTCGCAGCTCCGTCGGTGGCTATGAACTGCGCAACTGTCGCCATTTGAGTGGTCTCCTGAGAGGCACGCCAAAGGGGCAGCGCGGGTCCGGGCGAGACCGCGCGGCTCTGATAGGGCGCTGCGAGCTGCGCAACTGTCGCAACTGTCGTGGTTTCCTGAGAGGCGCGGCGGAGTGCAGTGCAGCGCGGATGAAGGTGAGACCTAGCGGCGCAGCCGACGCCACGTTCGTAGTCTTCTGGGAAGCACGGCGGAGTGAAGGGCAGCGCGGATGACGGTGAAACCTCGCGGCTCTGCTAGGGGCTCTCATCTGCATCTGCACAACTGTCGCCACTGGCGTGAGCTCCTGGCAGGCACGGCGGAGTGCAGGGCAGCGCGGATGAATGTGAGACTTCGCGGATCCTATGGGGCGCTGTGAACTGCGTAAGTGTCGCCACTTTCGTGGGCTCCTCGGGGGCACGGAAGAGTGCAAGACAGCGCGGATCTAGACGAGACCTCGCGGCCCTCATGGGGCGATGCGAGCTGCGCCAACTGTCGCCACTTAGGTGAGCTCCGTGGCTGTGCGGATGAAGGCGAGACCTCGTAAGGGCTCCGAACTGCGCAGCCGACGCCACTTTCGTGGCCCCTGGGGGGCACGGCGGAGCGCAGGGCAACGCGGGTCATTTGAGACCTCGCGGCTCCGTCGGTGGCTGCGAACTGCGCAACGATTTCCACTGTCGTGGGCTCCTGGGAGGCACAGCGGGAGGCAGTGTAGCGCCGATCGTGCGATGTACCATGCTGCATGGGGCTTGGAGAAGGGGCTGGGTACGCCTTGGGTACTTGCGAGCTACATTTCCGAAATACGTTTTAGTGTGTGTCCCGGCGTAGGTTTTGGCAGTTTGGGCGGCAGCAACATAAACAGACAATGAGCACAACGCAGACCACAAGATAGGCGGGGTGGGGTAGGATATCGGATACGGCGCGAGTGCACCTAGCTTGTCCTCCTCTCTCCTCCTCTCCTCTCTCCTCTTCCACTCTGCTCCTGCCCTTGCAACGGGGTCACCAATGCCGTCAGCTTGCAAGAACGCCAGGACGGCCAGCGAGGGGACCACAATTACCGTGAGCAGCACGGAGGCAACCACGCTGAGGACGATCGACAGGATGGTGACCTCGACAACGGCGGGGCGCAAATATTCCAGGACGAGGATGGAACATTTTTGGGGGCGAGGAAAGAGATGCTATGGTGGCGGGGTCTCGGCGTTCTGCCCCTCCACGCAAGCCGAGGGAGGTGAACACAACCTAGTGGTGGGAGGGCAACGGAACCAGCTTACCTGCAGCTCGCCGGATATAGTGTCATCCTATTGTCGTGAGGTGGAACAGACGGGCGATCCTGCGGGTGCGGCTGCGGGTGCGGCTCGCGGGTCCCTTACGTGCAATCCCTCCGTCGTGTGCAGGGTCGAACTGAAGGTTCCTGGGTGGTTTGCGCAGGTTGGCCCCCGTCACGCACCATGGCCCCGACACCAAGGTACTGCTGAAGGTCGTACACGTTGGCTGCGCCGAGAGGCAGTCCTCGAGACCTTCCGAGCCCGGCGAGTGGTTATGGAGGCGGGGCGACGACGACAGTAGAGCGAGGAGGGAGGAGTGGACGGGGGAGGAGGGAGGAAGGGGGAAGAGGGGGAGAGGAGCGAGGAAGGGAAGAAGGAGGAGGAGGAGGAGGAGGAGGAGGAGGAGGAGGAGGAGGAGGAGGAGGAGGAGGGGGAGGAGTAGGGGGAGGAGGACGAGGAGGAGGGAGGAGGAAGAGGAGGAGGAGGAGGAAGAAGAGGAGAAGGGGAAGGAGGAGGAGGAGGAGGAGGAGGAGGAGAGGAGGAGGAGGAGGAGGAGGAGGAGGAGGAGGAGAGGAGGAGGAGGAGGAGGAGGAGGAGAGAGGAGCGAGGAGCGAACGGGCGAGCAGTGCCCCCTCGTCCATCATCCACCTCCCCTCTCTCTACTCCATCCTCGGCGGCAACATCGGCAACATCGGAATGAAGAGTCGAACCTGGCATGCAATTCCGACCCTGAGGGATCCATCCAGTCTTCGTCGGGAGGCGGTGGGCGGCGCAACCCACCCAGGGCGCTCGCTCGTGACGGTGCGTCCTCCGTCCTTCTCCTGGACACCTGTCGTCAACCGACTTCGCCTCCTTCTCCTCCTCCTCCTTCTCCTCCTCCTGCTCCTCCTCCTCCTTCTCCTCCTCCGCCTCCTCCTCCTCCTCGTCCTCCTCCTCGTCCTCCTCCTCGTTCTCCTCCTCGTCCTCCTCCTCCTTCTCGTCCTCCTCCTCCTCCCCCTCCTCCTTCTCGTCCTCCTCCTCATCCTCCTCCTCCTCCCTGGGCTCTCACCCCTTCCTCTCCCCCGCCCGCTTCGCTCGGTGCGGTACCCAGACGACGACTCTGCGTACCACAGCCGACGGCGGCGACACGGCGGCTCAACGATGGGGCCCTGGGGACGATGGGGCCCCAAAGCTGACCTCTGCGGCTGTTCCGAACGCGGGGTAGAGCCGGCTCTAGACCAAACGCGAAGGTGGACATATCGTTGAGCAGGGACCGACCGTCACGGCATTTCTATAGGCCTTCCACGAAATTGTCTTGGAACCCCAAGATGTTCTAGTAGCACAAACACTGTTCTTAGAACAACAGCCCGATATGTAAGACAAGACAGTCCCAGCCAGAAATGCTCTAAGAACATGTTGTGGAAACCACAAACTGAGAGCCGGCAGTTCGAAACCCGCACGCCTGTCAACAGACAGAGCGCCCGCTCGGCAAAGGAGTGACGGCAGGCTGGCCACGACACGTGGGCGCAGGGAGGCCGCCCCTGGGACATGCGAGCAAAACCTCGGGCAGAATGTGGGGAGCTGGCCGGTCGAGGGCGTCGTCATCTCTCCGCAACAACACGAACAAGAGCAACTAACACATCATCAACAACAACACTCATTTAAAGACTGTTCACTCGTGTACGCTCGCGTGCCATTCAACACGTATCTCGCAAAACCTCGAGACCCGCCCACTTCGTCTTCGATCGTACCCCTTTCAAGGTAGATCAATCTGACACCTGCAACGTGTATTTCGTGCAGCCCCTAAGGCAGGGGAAGAGAGGACGGACGGAAGGACGGGACAAGGGGGAGGGAGGAGGATGCAGCACGAGAGAGATTTGCAGGAGGGGGGCGAGGAGCAGAAAACACGTGGCAGAACCAGACAGGCAGATCGGGCAGGTAGACCTTGACGGACGGGTCGGGAAGGCGGGCCCAGGCGGCCAGGTCGAGCCGCCGGGTTGCTGAAGCGTGCGTCTTGCATGAATCGCCAGGAAGTCTCAAGCGACAGTGCGATTCACAAATAAATGGTGAGGACATCCACAGCGAGAGCGTGATTCCTGAGTGTCGAGGGAGCGTCGTCTGAAAAAAAAGGACGTCCCACTCGAGAGCGCGACTCCTGCATACATTGTGAGGACGTCCCGTGCGAGAGCGCGATTTAGGAATCAGTTCTGAGGAAGTATCAGGCGGGAGCTGGTGTTGTTGTGCACCGGGGGCCAACAACACAATTCTGAGACCCAAGACCTTCCCAGATTAAAAAAACAGGGTGCGGATCCAAGGATAAGTACGTGCATCGTGAAAACACCATGTGCCCCGGAGGGGGGATCAACACTACTTGTTCTTCAGTCGTGAAAGCTCAACAATAATGGCAACAACAACAGCAACAGCAGCAACAACAACAACGAAGCTCACTCGCGTGCCAGTCAACACGTATATCCCAAACCATCGATATCCGTCCTCTCCGTCTTCGAACGTATCCCCTTGGCGGTATGTCTTCCTTACCTGCAACGTGTACTCCGTACAGCCCCTAAGGCAGGTAAAGACAGGACGGATGGAAGAAAGGGACAACGGGGAGGGCAGGCGGGTTGCTGAAGCGTGCGTCCTGCATGAATCGCGAGGAAGTATCGAGCGACAGATTCCCAAATAATTCGTGAGAGAATCGACAGCGAGAGCGTGATTCCTGAGTGTCGAGGGCGAGGCGTCTGAATTAATTGCGAGAAATCTCACGCAGTCCCGCGCGAGAGAGAGAGAGAGAGAGAACGATTTGGGAATCAACTGTGAGGAAGTATCAGGCGGGAACCGCTGTTGTTACAAAACTGGGAGCCAGGGGCGCAGTTTCGTGGCACCCAGCTTCCCCTTGTAAAAAACAGTGTGCGAGCCCAGGGAGAACCACTTGAATTGAAACAGAAATTGTACTAGGCAGGGGGGACGAATAATGATAACTCTTCAGAAATGAGGTTTCAACAACAACATCAATAACACCAACACCAATAACAACAACAGCACCAACACTAACATCAACAACAACACCACCAACACCACCAACAATCAGTTCAAGACTGTTCGGTCTTTTCCGCTCGCGTGCCATTCAACACGTAGACCCCAAACCTTCGATACCCGCCCTCTTCGACTTCGAACGTACACCCTTGGGCGTATATATCTGTCTTAGCTGCAACGTGTATTTCGTGCAGCTCCTAGGGCAGGGGACGAGAGGACGGATGGAAGGAAGGGACGATGGGAAGGGAGGAGGAGAGGATGCAGCACGAGAGTAGCAGCAGGGAAGCTAAGAGCAGAACACACGTGGCAGAACCAAACGGGCAGATCGGGCTGGTAGACCCTAACGGGCAGGTCGGGAAGGCTGGCCCAAGCGGCCAGGTCGAGCAGGCGGGTTGCTGAAGCGTGATTACTGCGTGAATCGCAGGGAAGACTGGACCGATAATGCGATTCATGACTACATCGTACAGAAACCCACAGCGAAAAACAGATTCCTGAGTGTCGAGGACGCGGCGCCTGAGTAAAATGTGAGGAAGTCCCACTCGAGAGCGCGATTCCTGAATATATTGTGAGGTAGTCCCGCGCGAGAGCGCGATTTAGGAATCATTTCAGAGGAAATATCAGGCGGGAGCCGTTGTTGTTGTGAACCGGGGGCCAACAACACAATTCTGAGACCCAAGACCTTCCCTGATGAAAAAAAACAGGGTGCCGGCCCTGGGACGGGCAATTGAATTGAAAAACGCAATGTGCCCCGGAGGGGAGAGATCAACAACAATTCTTCACTCATGAGAGATCAACAGCAACGAGTTGAAGAAGAGCCGGGAGAGAACTGAGAGACTGAGGATCATTGAATGGAGGATGGAGGCGGGAGGAGGATGGCGAGGATGAGGATGAGGATGGGTAGAATGGCACTGCACATCGCAGTCGCCTCGGCAAACCATCGCGGCTGTGGGCAACGATGGGCGATCCCAACCAACCCCGCGGACCACACACAGCACCATGGCAGGGCTGCGCCGCAACGTGGGGCGGAGGCTACATATGGCGGCCGCCAGCACGCACGCGTCCGCGCGCGTCATGGAAGCCCTGAAACAAAGCGGCTGGAGAGGTCGCGTCGAATCCATGTCGAATCTGCGTCGAGGCCACGCCGAATCCGGGTCGAACCCACGGCGAATCCGCGTTGGATGCGAGAAACGATCAAGGTTTCCAGGGCGGACGAGGTCCCCGCGAGGATGCAACGTAGGACACCGCGCGCGGAGGCGTGGGCGAAGGCCCTTGGGGAGGTGCTGCCCGTCGGGTCGCTGCCCTCCCCCCCTCGACAGCCCTCCGCCCGCGCGCGCGCTCCCGGACCGTCGACAGCACCTCCGCAGACTCCAGCCCGTTAGGATAGAGACGGCGACGACGGAGATGTGGACAGCGGCAACAACGGCGAGGACGGCAACGACGACGAGGACGGCAGCGAAACGAGGACGGCGACGGCGACGACGAGGACGGCGACCACGAGGAGAGCGACGCTACGTCGACGATGCCGCCGAGCACATCGACCACGACGACGAGTACCACGACGACGAGGACGACGACGCGTCTGGCGCCAGCGCCGCTCGGGCCTCGAAGCCGGTCTGCTCATCGCGTAGCTCGTCGACGCCTGCCGCCGCAAGCCAGCCGCTGGCCCCGCCGCAGGCGGCGGAGCAGGCGAGGATCACGGAGATCAGCGCGAGGAACTGCCCCCTGCAGGCGCGGGTGGGCTGGCTCGGGCTTGGGCTTGAGCCCAGGCTCGGACTCGGAATCGGGCTCGAGCTTTGGCTCGAGCGCGAGCTCTGGCTTGCGCTCACGCTTACGCTTACACTTGCGCTCGCGCCAGAGCTCGCGCTCGCGCTCGGGCTTGAGCTCAAGCTCGGGCTGGCTGGGGAGATGGGGGGAGGCGATAAGATACGATACGGTGTGGTCAACCGCTGCGGACGTCCGCCCAGGCCTACTTCAGACCAGGTGGGTGACGGCGTGGGCCTCTGGATTCACGATGTTGGACGTGTAGTCTCGACGATCGCTGGGTGTCCTCGTTCTTGATCTTGGATGATGGTTGGCCTTGGGTGGGGGGGGGAGGAGACAACTAGAAGCCGGAGGTTGCCAGAGGCGGTCCTGGCCCCACTTGCCAGAGGTGGCCCTGGCCCACGGTGCCCCCCCAGCTTTTCGCGTCGTTTTGGCGGGCCCACGCCTCCCTGGGGCTCGCGAGGGGTGCTCAGGAGGCTGCGAGCCACCTCGGTTACCACCAGATGCTGGGCGACAGGGCCCGAACAGATCCGATGTAGAATCGTTGGGTTTGTCTCCTGCGCGCGGCTCTCACGCCGAGGCGCAGTCGAGGAGCAGGCGAGAGGCAATTCAAATTAGCCTAGGTGAGGAATTGCGGGCGGGATGGCCAGACATAAAACGCAGTAGGGCCGCGCGTTATCGATCCCACCACATTTACAAATCGATCGCCTAGCTTCCACATGGAAGAATGCGGCAACATGCCAGGGATCTGACTTGCACAACATCTCACAACATCATACATCATTGAATGAGCAGTTAGCACGGGTGATTAAATTCTAAGAGGAGTAGTGATAACCCCATTCCCCCTGAAAGCATGAAACTCGAGTTTCTCCTGGGATGCAATGACATCGCGCAGGGCAGATGACAAGCTGTCCCTTGATTTTGAGCTTGGAATGACATGTTATGAGAGCCTTGGAGGGACTCGGCGGAACAACTCAGAGAAACTACGCACCTGCGGGCACAATTCACCTCCCTCGCCGCGACATTAGTGGCTGCTTCCCAGGGAGCAGACCCCCTTCAAACCGATGGTCACACGGGCTAACACATCAGGGCAACGAGGGGGTCGTGCGAGGCGCACGCGGCCAGGGACCATGGCACCAACCGGGGGCACACATTCGCTTCACGCAATCGGAGGTAGCTATTCGGGAGGCGCGGGCGATGATGTTCGGCCAGCGGCGGCGAGCATCATGCGGCACGCACGCATGCACATACACACACATGCACATTACACACACTACGCACACGCATACATGCATATGTACATGAAGTAACCATCTGCGCACGTGTGTGTGTGTGTGAGCAAGTACACAGGTGAGAGTATGCACTCCCCCAGCACAGCTTTCGCTCAAGGGTTCCTACGTTCGCGTCCGCCTCGTGGGAGCCCCGTGCGCTCGGTGGGTTCCCCGAGGACTGCGCCACGTTGCCACCCGTGCCGCTACATTGGCGCCTCGCGCGCTCGGTGGGTTCCCCGAGGATGCGCCACGCTGCTGCCCGCGCCGCCTCGGGGGCGCATCGCGGGCGCCCCGTGCGCTGGGTGGGCTCACCAAGGATTGGTCACGTTACCGCCCGTGCCGCCTCGTGGGCGCTCGTGGGCGCCACGTACAATGAGTCTGGACCGCATACCCTACACCATGTCACAATTTAGAGCACATAGCTTACACGGCATAGCTCACAACCCGTAGCTAACACAGCACGGCGTTCATGGTAGAACGCATCCCACATAGCTCATACTGCATTGCTTGTTACTTCTAGCTCATACCGCACAGCTGCTTCACGGCATACGCACACCAAAGGGCTTGCACCGCAGAGATTTTACCACATAGCTGCCCCCTCAAACATAGCTAACAACTGTTAACCACATATGCTATCTCGCACGACATAGCTCCCACCACCTAGCTTACACCGCATCGTTTTCGAGTCCGCAGTGCTCGTTAAGGCGCGGATGGGGAAGTTCTTCTCCCAGAACGAATTGCCAATCTTGCCACCACGGCCACCAGACTCATGGCCAGCCCTCCTGGCACCCTGGTTCTCTCCTCCTCCTGCTCCCCCAACTCCTCCTCATCCTCCTCATCATCAGCATCATCATTATCATTATCATTATCATCATCATCATCATCATCATCATCATCATCATCATCAGCATCATCATCATCAGCATCATAATCATCACCATCACCATCATCATCATCAGCATCATCATCATCAGCATCATCATCAACATCACCATCACCATCATCATCATCATCATCATCATCATCATCATCATCATCATCATCATCATCATCATCACCATCATAAGCACCATCATCATCTCCTTCGTCCGTCTCCACCCTATTGCCCTCGTCATCCCCATCCCTCCTTCCTCGTACCCCTCTTCTCCTCGCCTTCCAGCATGTTCTCCTCCCGCTGCTCCTTCTCCTGCCGCGCGCGCCTGTCGCTCAACATGCCCTTGAAGCGCGCAATGACCCCGAACGCCATCGCAGCAACCACCTATTGAGGACCAACGCTCCTGTCAGCTGCTCTGCTGGATGGACGATGGGCGAGAGTCCGGCGGCGGCTCATGGGCCTCCCGCGCCCCCGGGGCCTCCCCCTCCTCCTCCGCGCCACTGGGGCCTTCGAAGTGTGTGGGGGAGGGGAGAGGGAGACGTGGGGAAGCAGGAGAGGGGGGGGAGGAAATGGGGGGGGGACAAAGGGGAAGGAAAAGGGTGCGGGGCTGTCGGAATCGGGAGAGAGGGGTAGAGTGCATAGGAGTGAAGAGGAGAGGGGCGGGAAAAATGCATGGAGCGGGGGGAATGGCAGAATCGGCCGGGACGGTAGGGGAGGACAAAGGCATGGAAAGGCCAAAAGGGAGGGGAGAAGGATAAAGGGGTCGGAAAACGGCCAGTGGATGGGACGCAGAGAGGGAACGAGAGAGAGAGAGAGAGAGAGAGAGAGAAAGAGAGGTGCCCGAGCACGGAGCTACAAGCGCCACGCTACGCCCTCCTCGTGTGGCGGGAGGTGCCACATATATAGAAAGGGGGTGGGTGGCGAGACCAACCTCCCCCCAGGCGCGGTCAGGTCGGGACTGCACACAACTGGAAAGCAGAACGGGGCATGAGAGGGAGCGCAAGAGCGAAAGAGAGAGCGAGAGTGACCGAGAGAGAGAGAGAGAGAGAAAAAAAAATAAAAAAGGACAGAGAGCGAGAGAAGGGAACAAAGAGGAAGATGGAGAGAGAGAGAGAGAGAGAGAGAGATAGCGAGAGAGAGAGAGAGAGAGAGACAGGGAGGGAGAGAAAGATAACGAGAGCGAGAGCAGGAAAGCTCTCTCTCTGTCGCTCCATATGTATATACACAGATATATCTAGAGATAGGTGATGAAAAAAAGGGAGAACCTGAGGGTTGGAATGGGGGAAGGAACAGCGAGGGAACGCAAAGAGTTGAGGGGCAGTGAGCCACAGGGACCATGGGAGGGAGAGGAAGGAAAGGCTGGGGAAAGAATAGGCGAGGAGGTGCGCATTCTTATTATCATATCCCGCCCTCCCTCTCCTCATCTGCAGAGGAGGCGGACAAAGGAAGGCGACCAGGACAAAGAGATGTGGGGGGAACGTTGGAGGGTTGTGGAGGAGAACAGGAGGACCGAATGGAGAGGGCGAGGAAGGGATTCGGGGGGGCACGAGGGCGAGGCGGAGGACGCGAACGAGGGTGCGAGGTAAAGAGGGGGAGGGGGAGGGGGGAAGAAAAAGAGAGGGGAACGGAAGGGCAGCTCATCTTCCCCCTCCTCCATCCTCGTCCTGCTGATTCCTGATACCTGATGGCCTGGAAGTTCGTCGAACGCGGCCCTCCCCCCAGGGCCGGTCGGCCCTAGGGGGTTGATCAAACTAGTGCCAGGCGAATCCTGGATCAATCACTCCTGGAGTCGTCGTCCTGCTCCTCCTCCTCCTTCCCACTCCATTGTCCTCCTTCATGTCCTCCTTCTGATCGTCATCCCGCATCTGCCGCCCCTCTTCCTCCTCCTTTTCCCCATCCTCATCCTGCACCTCATGCTCATGATCTTGCTCATGCTCATATGCATGCGCATGCGCATGCGCATGCGCATGCTCATGCTCATGCTCCTGCTCCTGCTCATCATCCTTCTGCTGTTGCTGCTGCTGCCGCCCCTCCTCCTGCTCCTCCTGCTCCTCCTCCTCCTCCTCCTCCTGACCTTCCTCCTCCCTCCTCCTCCTCCTCCTCTCTACTCCTCTTGCTGTTGCTGCTGCTGCTGCTGTTCATCCTCCTCCTCCTCCTCCTCCCCCGTCCCAACCTCGGGGAGGCAAAGGAGGAGCAGGAGCAAGACACCGAGGAGGAGAAAAAGGAGGAGGAGGAGGAGGACGCCACGACGACAACGATAACGACGACGACAGCCATGAGGGGGAAGGAGGAGGAGGGGAAGGGCGAGGCTACGGACAGGACCCTTTGCACAACGTGCCGCGACGGTGGCCCATGCGACACGATATGCCTTGCAAGCGGATAGTGCATCGCTCCGCTTCGCGCGAAGCTAAGCTGGGAACAACTCGGGAGGTTAACGCCTGGGGGCTGGGGCTTGGCTGACGTGTCGCACCGAAACGTGTTGGGCCAGAACCAGTGGCGCGACGCGCTAATCAATACTTCCCGGCCAGAAGCATGAGGGCGTGTAGAAACAGGAATATAATCCTCGGATACTCTCTTCCTCCTCCTCGTCCTCCTCCTCCTCCTCCGCCTCCTCCTCCTCCTCCTCCTCCTCCTCCTCCTCCCCTTTTCCTTCTCCTCCTCCTCCTCCTCCTCCTCCTCCTTCTCCTCCTCCTAGCGCCAGCTGGCACGAGCACGGCGCTCGGGGCCAGCCAGCGCCACGGGCGCCGCCAGGCGCCGAAGCCCCCTGCCCCGATCCCCCCCGCCGTCCCGGCACCCTCCCAGCCGGTGGGCATGGAGGCGCGCCGGCGGCGCAGGCCGAACCGACCTGCCGCGGCGCGCCGCGCGCAGCTCCGCGCCGAGGGGCGAGCTGCTGAGCGGCTGCTGGCGGCCTCCGCGGCGCTCGCTGGCCACCGAGGCTGCGCCCCGACACGCCTGGGAGCCGCCTTGGCAGAGGCGCTGCGGACCAAGGAGGCGGAGGCCGAGCGGCCGGCCAAGGAGGCGGAGGAGACGGCGCGGGCCGCCGACGCCTACCTCGACGAGCTCAGGCGCGAGGCCGCAGCCAAGCGACGGGCAGAGGCAGCACTGGGCGACGCGAGCCTGAACGAGGCCCTGGCCCTGGCCGAAGCCGAGCGCCTGGCGGAGGCAGAGCGGGCGGCCGCCGCTTCTGCACCCCGCGGGGACCTGGAGCAGGGCACGGCGGAGGCCCAGGCGAGCGCCCTCAACGCCGACGCCGAGAGCTTCGAGCCGCTTGACGCGCCGCTTGAGGCCTACCGCGCTGCCCTGCAGACCGCCCCGCCGAGCCAGCCCTTCAAGGCCAAGCTGGAGAGGCTGCGGGCCGCCGAGCAGCAGGCCGCGGGCACGACAGCGGAACGCGCTGCAGCACGAGCGCCCAAGCCTGACGCGGACGAGGCGCCGACGCGCGACCAGCTGGCGAGGCTGCAGGCCGCCGAGCAGCGGGCCACGGGGCGGCGGCGCAGAGCGGCCCCGCTGGCGAAGGCGCGGGCCCACCGAGCCCGGGAGCTGCCGACCGCCGACGGCGGGGAGGCGCCCACGCACGGCGGGCAGAGGGCCGAGCGCCTGGCCGACGCGAGGCGCAGCGCCGCGAGCGCCCGCGCGCAGCCCCCACGCGAAGCAGGCCGAAAAGCTGACGAGGGCTGAACGCCTGGCGCAGGCGCAGCGCCGCGCCGCGGACGCCCGCGGGGCACTGGAGGAGGCACAAGCGGACGCGGAGGCCACGGATGCCGCGACGCGAGCCGCGCAGACAGCCCTCCTGAGAGCAGCGCGGGCGCTGGAGCAGCAGCAGGCGGAGGCAGAACCGCCGACGGCAGCGGAGCGCCTCGCCCAGGAACGGCGCCAAGAGCAGGCCGCGCGGTTCCGCCCGAAGCCGCGGCCGCCGCCCCCAGCAGCTCGACGGCGACGCGAAGAGCTGGCGGAGGCGCAGCGCTGGGCTCCCCTGGCAGGACGCGCGCTGGAGAAGAGGGAACCCAGCAAACGGCCGCGGCGACTCCCCGGGGAAGGAACGGGCGCGGACGAGGCGGGCGCCGCCCAGAGCTGCACACCCTGGGGAGCCCTTTTGAGAAAGCGGGCGCACCCAGGGGAGTGGCCAGAGGCTGAGCGCACCGCCAGCGGCGCCCGAGCGCGGCCGCCCCATACCCTGGACGGGAGCCCCTTGATAATGGAGGCATACCTGGGGGAGGGACACAAGCGCCGAGGGCTTCGCAAAACGCCACGAAACTGGCCGCACGAAAGGGTCGAAAGGGCTTTCCTCCTCCTCCTCCTCCTCCTCCTCCTCCTCCTCTCCTCCTCCCCCTCCTCCTCTTCCTACTCCTCCTCCTCCTATCCTCCTCCTCCTCCTCCTCCTCCTCCTCCGCCTCCTCCTCCTCCTCCTCCTCCTCCTCCTCCTCCTCCTCCTCCTCTTCCTCCTCCCCCTCCTCCTCCTCTTCCTCTTCTCCTCCTCCTCTTATTATTAGTATTATTATTATTGTTATTATTAGTATTAGTATTATTATTCTTATTATTATTATTCTTATTCTTATTATCATTAGTATGATTATTAATATTATTAGTATTAGTATGAGTATTAGTATTATTACTATTATTATTATTATTATTAATATTAATATCATGATTATTATTATTAATAATTCGCCGGCCCAACGGGCCAGAGGCGTGCTAAGATCTCCGGTAACTGGTTAACAATTTTCTAGTTCGCGCGCGCGGGGCGGCCCCTGGGGGTCCCCGGACGAAAAGTACCCCGACCAGGTCCCGGCCGGGTCCCCCCGAGCGCTCCATGAGCGCACCAACAGGGCTCCGAGACGTCCCCGAGAGCCCCAAGAAAGGCCAAGAGGCCCCCAAGAGGCCCCCAAGATGGTACACGAGGGGTCCGACATGCCACAAGATCGCTCCAAGACGCCCAAGATAGCCCCCAGACGCCCCAAGAGGCCTCCAAGAGCACTCCCAATAGGGCCCCCGGAGGCAAAAATCATTGTTTTTCCATAGGTTTTTGAGAGATTTTGGAGCTTCCACCTTTTCGGCTTCCCGACGCCCCAAGACGGCCCAAGAGGCCCCCAAGATCGCCCCAAGAGGGCCCAAGAGGCACCCAAGAGGGCCCCAAGATGGCCCAAGAGGGCTCGAAGACGGCCCAAGAAGCCTCCAAAACGGTCCAAGAGGGCCCCAAGAACGCCCCCAAAGGGGCCCCAGAGAGGGAACACGAAACAACATTTCGAGCCCTCGGCCCTAAGAAGCCCCTACGAGGCCCCTAAGAGGCCCCAAGAGGCCCCCACGGGGCCCTCAGGAGGCCCCCAAGAGTCCCCCAAGCGGCCCCAGGAGGCCCCCCAAATGCCCCCCCGAGCGCCCCAGG